AAATTTGCCCCCGGGGAGGCGGTCTGAGCCTCTGGGGCCTCGCTACGCTATGCTAAGCCACACGCCGAATCGCGTAAGGTGAGAGCAGAAACAAAAAATAGTAAGGACGCCAAGGCACTGGGCATCGCATGCAATGTACGTTAAACATGTCACAGGTAATCGCCTCCACTCGAAGAAGAACAATCGACAGAAAAGTGTGTGTTTAGCGTTGTTTCTTCTTCTATTGAGAATGCCACAGGTAATCGCCTTCACCACAGGTGTTGGCAGCGCTTTTCGACATGGTTCGCCGTTCGATGGGGAATCAGCCTCCTCCTCCTCCTCCTCCTCCTCCTCCTCCTCCTCCCACAGGTGTTGGCAATGCTTTCCGGCACGGTTCGCCGTTCGATGGAGAATCAGACAGGTGGACGTCTGGGGAGGGCCGCGCCTTCCCCTGGATTGCGGGCGGCACGGCAGAGATCGCAACGGCCCTTTCGAGGCGATCGTGATGGGCCTGTCGTCCACCACCACCACCATAAGTTGGAGGGGGAGGGGGTTCCTCCTCCTCCTCCTCCACCTCCTCCCCTTCTTCGTCCTCCGCCTCCTCATCCTCCTCCTCCCTCCCCCCTCCAACTGATGGTGGCGGTGGTGGAAAACAGGCCCATCAGTCCTTGCCCCAGGATCGTCCGGTTTTTCGAGCCGCCGGATCCTGGCTGCTGACGTTGCTATCGGGGGACCTTGCTTGCCACCTGAGTTGCAGTCCTTCCTAGCACTCGCCGCGGGTTCGACGCAGACTGGACGTGGATTCGACGCGGATGCAACATGGGTTCGACACGGATTCGACGTCCGACGTGAATTCGGCGCAGATCCGACGCGCATCACAGTGCGAGGCGACAGACAAGGTCTCCCGAAGATTCAGTACAGGGATGTTTGTCGTCGATTCCTGCCGAGTCGTTGACAGGGTCGTGACTACGAAAACATGTCCGAACCGCCACCGCTCAGAGTGCAGTCGGCATGATTCCGAGCAGTCTCGTCAGCGTGATACCTTCCATTAACTAAGTACACAGTGTTTCGGGCGACAGCCCACATACCTTATAGTGCATATGTATATATATAGAAAATAGACAGACGTATTTTCAGATCTAGAGGGAGAGGGAGAGAGAGAGAGAGAGAGAAAAACAAAAAAAACAGAGATGTACGGTAGGTTCGCGTCGCGTCGACCGGCGGCGATCCCGCGGCCAGCGTTCAACGCTGCCGGCGCCCCAGAATCGGTCGATATGTATTGAGCGATCGGATGGTCCGTTCATGGTTGAACGATCCCTGCAGCGTCAGAGACTCAAGCCGAAATCGTCACGGTACGACCCTCTCGCATGTATGTATTTAAGTCTACATTCTACATATGTCTATATATATATATATACACGCGTGTGTGCATGTCCTCATCCTCCTCGGATCCATTTTCAGATTCCTCTTGTCTTTTCCTGCGACGCTTGCGTGCTACAGCTCTTCGTATGAGCCTGAGCACGCATGTGCCATTTGCATGACACTTTTTGACCGTCAACCCATCCCTCCACCGTGCCTGGCTTGTAGGTCAGAGGCCTCTTGGATGCCTGTGGGCAGCTCTCGGGAGGCCTCTTGGATGCGGTTTGGGATGCCTTGGCGGCCTGGTTTGAGCCTCGTGGGGGCCTCCTGGAGCTTATAGGGCGCCTTCTGGAAGCCTGCGGGCGGTCTCGGGGGTGCTTGGGCGGAGGGCTCGAAATGTCGGTTCGTGGTCTCCCCTTCGGGCCCTTCTTGGACCCCTTTTCGGCCGTCACGGGGTCTTCTTGAGCCGTCTGGTGGCGGCTTTGGGTGCCTCCAGGGCTGTTTTGGAGCGATCTAGTTGGGCCTCTCAGGCTGCCTTGGAGCCAGAAAGAGCGAGAACGATATCATGTTTCAAACACCGATGGAAGCACATTGATTTTGGCCCCTCGGGGCCTTCTTGGGTGGCCTCTTGCGTGGCATCTTGGAGCCCACTTGTGGCTGCTTGGGAGCCTCTTGGGGCCGTCTCGAGGGCATCGTGGGCAGTCTCGGGGCGCTCTTGGACCATCTTGGGCGTTTCTCAGGAGACCAGGGGGTAATTGGGATCGTTTTTGGCGAGGTCATTGTCCCGGAAGCTCACGCGAGAAACTCCAAAAGGACACCAAGGGGCGCATAAGAATTCCGAGAGCGTATTGGTCGGAGCTTTGAACCCAGAATTGCATGAGCTTTTGGGCACTCCGCTTCGCGCTGGGTGCACTGCGGCTCAGTATCGTTCAACCGACCTCTATCCTCACCCCCATCCAGCCATCCACCATCTCATCGCCCCAGTTAGGGATATACCCCTTCGAAGCTCAAAAAGGGAACAGCCTATCCCCAGCAAGGGGGGTAAAGCGGCCAGTGGGGCCCAGACCACGCCCATAGGGGATAAGGGTCGGTTCAACGGTGCTCAACTGCCCCGGATGTAAGATCGGAGGCCTACAAGTTGACACCAACACCAATATCGGCGTTGTGCCCCCACCGAGGGAATGAGTATCCCAATCTCGGTGACGGTGGTAATCTTCTGGCCTCCTGGGCGGCCAGAAGATTACCACCAACACCGAAATCTAGGATCATCGTCTTGTGGTGGAAGCAACCCCCTGTGTTGGTGTTGGTGCCCATTTCCAGGCCTCCAATAATCGGGGATGGACAGACCACCCTCTAGTAAAACGTAGTTTAGTGAAAACGACCTGAGGCCCAGACCTGGCGGGCGCAAGCCTGGAAAACAACGGCCACGGCGCCCTCTCGAGAACCAAAAACGGACAATTCACTAATCGACGTGTCACTGTTGGGGGTTCTGTCCACCCCCGAAATAAGAGTTGTTGACGTGTCCGGCTCCCACCAAGGCAGACAGCCTGGACCGCCTGAGGGAGGAGCTCGTCGCCAGACACGAGGATCGGCGGCGCGCCTGGGGGCGGGGAGGGTGGGGGGGTCTCCCCCTCTCGCCCCCCTTCCTCGTCCTCGTCCTCGTCCTCGTCTTCGCCGTCCTCCTCCTCCTGCTCCTTTTTCCTCCTCCTCCTGGCTCCTCCTTCTGCTTCTTTTGAAGTGCGAAGTGTGAGAGAAGGCATCTGCGTCACCCCAACATACTCATACTATATGTGCGTCGGCCCCCCCAAGGGGCGACGCTCGCACCGAGAAATCTCATAGTATATGCGTCGTAGCGGGCGCTTTCTGGCCACACCGCTAGGGAAACGATATACTACAAGATGGGCATACCATATGTTCGGGTCGGACGCGCGCTTCCACGGAGGACATATAGTATTAGTACGTCCCTGTGCGTCCGAGGGCAGGCCTCCTGAGAAGCCTCCCGTGTCTTCGGTGTGGGCAGGATGTGTATCCATGTCCACCGCGTCTTGGAGTCTCAAGTTCCCTTCCTCAGAAACCGCAGGCGCAGTGGACATGGATCAAATGATGGCCTCTAGAGGCCAGGTGTTATCCATATCCTTTGCTCCTCTTCGTTTTGGCGCCCCTTCCCAAAGAATCCAATAGGGAGTGGATATGGAAAAGAGGGTGAGGCTCAGAGAGCTTCTCAGAAGGCCCAAGGCACTGCGATCATTCTGATAAGGTTCGCCGCCTGGGCTCGCCGCCGAGAGGGCGACGATCACGACGACGACGACGACGTGGACGACGACGACGACGACGACGATGAGAGGAGCTGCTTCAGGAGACGGCGACGGCGACGACGACGAGGATGACTGCGACGACGAGGACGACGACGTCGTCGGCGACGGCGACGTCGTCGCCGTCGTCGCCGTCATCGCCTCGTTCCCTTCTCCAAGGGCGCCCTCGAGGGCGCGAAGTTATTCGCGCTTCGCGGTTCGGCTCCGTTTCCTCCTCATCCTCCTCTTCTCCCCTGGGAGGCGGCGCGAGAGCGCGAAGTTGTTCGCGCTTCGCGCGGCGCGAAGTGCGAGGCGCGATGTTGGGAGCCCTTGCTTCGCGCTTCCCCCCTCGGCTCGCCGCAGAGAGGAGCTGCTGCGGGAGTTCCTCTCCGAGCGCGCGCAGCCGCCCGAGCCGCGCGCGGCGGCCGCGCCGGCCGAGGACCACGGGGCGAGAAGGGGTAAAACGACGCGAAGATCGGGACAAAATCGGATCGGGACAACTCGAAACCTCTGAGAATCCGCGGGTTTGAAGGATGTATTGGGCGCCGCGGCCGCTCCAGAGCGTTCCGGAACGCTCTGGGAGCGCTCCGGAACGCTCTGGATCGATTTATCCCGATCCTAGCCCTGTTTTAAGCGGGGCTCAAGAGACGTGGGTCAATGCAAACGTCAAGCACTGGCGAAGCGCCCTGGCGTGCCTATAGGCCTACCAAACAATGTTCTAAGAACCTTTTGTGGTCTGCACGAAATATGATTCGAACATTCCTGGCTGGGGCCGTCTTGTTTTAACACATGGGGCTTTTGTTCTAAGAACCTTGTTTTTGTTCTTAGAACATTTGGGGGTTCTGAGAAAATTTCGTGGTAGGCCTATAGGAAGGCCCGGACGGTCGGTCCCTGCTCAATCAACGCAAACGGCGGTCAGCCAGAGCGCCGGATTGCAGGATCCTGTAGGGCCAGGGTCGCATTGACCCGGTTCTGGGTGCAGGATCCTGCAGGATCTTGCAGGATCCTTCGCATTGACCCGGGTTTGGGTACAGGATCTTGCAGGATCTTGTAGGATTTTGCATGGGCCGGCTGACCCAGAGCTCGGCTGCACGCAATAGGCAAATGGTGGCGAAGCGTCGCGACCTGCCTGTATTACCTCCAAAGAATGGTATGAGGATTGTTTTCGGTTTGCGCAATGCGTTCTTAGAGCCTTTCTGGCCGAGGCAGTCTTGCTTCGATGTATCGCTTCCACGTTCTACGAGCATTGCCTTTGATGTTGGGAAACTCTCTTGTTCTAAGAGCATCTCGTGGGAGGTCTATATGAGTGCCAGGAACGTCGGTCCCTCCTCAAAAGCGTTGCCATTTGCAGGAGTGGCCCTTCATACGGGTCCACAGGGGTTCTCCCAGCATTGGCCCGCGAGCCTTGGATATGTCGCCCCCGCGGCCCCCTAAGCCGCGCACCCAGGGTCACTCTTGCCTACTATATCTTGATGGAGGAAAATCCTGGGGAGGCTTGTCCAAAGGGGGTTTTCCAGTGGGGGGTGTCCAGATCCCCGCTGGGTTGTCCAAGGGGTTGTCCGGCTCAGGTCGTCTTTGTCGTCATCAATCAGGATGAGCTGTCCGGGTGCTGTTAGGAGATTTCCACAGATTTTTTCGTGATCGGATTGTTCTCCCATTGAACATAGTAGGGTCAGTCTTGCGTGTAACCGAGTGTCCTTGACGCAAACCTCGTCGTCCTCGCCGTCATCCTTCTTTTCCTCCTCATCGTTCTCCGCCTCTGGAATCTCCGAGAGCTTCCATGGTCGTCGTTGTCTCTCTGCGTCGTGACAAAATCTCGACGGGAGGTTTTTGTTTTTTTTGAGTCCGGGGGGGGCGTACTGGGTTCCGGGACGGTCGGACCAGATTGGGACAAACAGCCGGCCCCAGAGATGTGGTCCAGGCCTCGTGTCCATGTTTTGGAAAAGTGTCGGATGCCTGGGGTATACGGTCGATTCGTATCGACGCGGCGGCGATCTGGCACGGGCGTTTAAGGTTGAACGCGGCCAGTGGCCTGGGCTCGGCAGATGTCGAACGATTTGCGCCATTGGACAGTTCCGATGTATCAAGGTTGAACGATCCACGCGGTGTCAAAACCGGGAGTCCCAAAAGTGTGCGGTGACCGCGCGGTTTCGGGACTTGGGTCGTTCTCCGAGGACACCTCGGCCCCCAGGGTCCAAAACCGTGCGATGGACCGTGCGATGAGGTATCTTTGGGATTTCGAGGTCACCGCCCGGTCCGTCACCGCACCGCCTTGGGACGTCCAGCAAGACCAGCGCAGAAGTCGTCAAGTCACGAGCTTGCCGAGGTCGCCCTCGCACAAGAGGGAGAGCGCCGCGGCTCGCTGCCTGTGCGGTACGCGGTGCTCCTCATCCCTCGTCCCTCCTCCCCCTTCCTCGAGACATTGCAGAAAGAACATGAACATCCATGAACGCGACCAAGGGCGACCATCGCCAGACGAGTTAGACAAGGCTCAGTGGCCGTGTGTTCACAGAGGCTGCCCTTGTAGACCCTGGCATCAAGCAAATCTTCCTCCCTCCCTCCTCCTCCTCCTCCTCCTCCTCCTCCTCCTCCTCCTCACCACCACCACCACCATCATCATCGTCATCATCATCATCATCATCATCATCATCACCATCATCATCATCATCATCATCATCATCATCATCATCATCATCATCATCATCATCATCATCATCATCTGCATCTGCATCTGCATCTGCATCTGCATCTGCATCTGCATATTATTATTATTCTTATTCATCTTCATCATCTCCATCTCCATCTTCATCCTACTTATCAGCATCAGCATCAGCATCAGCATCATCACCACCACCACCATCATCATCATCATCATCATCATCATCAGCAGCAGCAGCAGCAGCAGCATGCCTCTTCCCAGAGAGGGAGAGCGCCTGCGCCCGGGGGCATAAGAATCGGCCCCCGCGCCGCCGGCTCTCCCCGCAGGCGGTGCCGCACGGTTCGACGGAGAGCCCCGAGATCGGGGCGTCGCTTCTTTTCACGCCAGGCGTTTTCGCTCGGTTTCGGGACCTGGAAGGAGGAGGAGGAGGAGGAGGAGGAGGAGGAGGAGGAGGAGAAGAAGGAGGAGGAGGAGGGCGAGGAGGGGGAGGAGGAGGAGGGAGGAGGAGGAGGAGAGGAGGGAGGAGGAGGAGAGGAGGAGAGAGGAGAAGGAGCATGAGGAGGAGGAGGAGGAGGAGGAACAGCGATCGGGCGGGTGGCAGTGGGGGGCGACCCACATGTCATAGGCGTCCAACCCTGGGTAACGCAGGGGGGCGTGCACGAAGAATATGTTCCAAGCGACGAGGGGTTCTTGCTTTGGCTGCGTGTAGGTGGCGCCGCCGCACGTGGAGGGGTCCGCTCGTCGCGCGATGTGTTTTCCATCGATCCCGGAAGGGGGAGGAGGAGGAGGAGGAGGAGGAGGAGGAGGAGGAGGAGGAGGAGGAGGAGGAGGAGGAGGAGGAGGAGGAGGAGGGCGAAGGAGGGGGAGGGAGGGGGGAGGAGGAGGAGAGGAGGAGGGGGAGGAGCGCGGGGAGGTGGGAGGAGGCGGAGGAGGAGGAGGAGGAGGAATAGGGATCGGGCGGGCGAGGGGTGGTAGTGTAGTGGGGGGCGACCCACATGTCATAGGCGTCCAACCCTGGGTATCGCAGGGGGGCGTCCACGAAAAATCTGTTCCACGCGACGAGGGTTTTTTGCTTTGGCTGCGTGTAGGTGGCGCCGCCGCACGTGGAGGGGTCCGCTCGTCGCGCGATTTGTTTTCCATCGATCCCGGAACGAGGAGGAGGAAGAGGAGGAGGAGGAGGAGGAGGAGGAGGAGGAGGAGGAGGGGGAGGAG